TATAAAAAGGGGGAGAATGAAAAGTAGGTACTCAGCTTTGGGTATTCATTTGCGGATTTGAAGACTAGTCTCATTTCGAGGGAGAGTTTAGTCTTGATCGTGCGAACTCGTTGGATATTGAAGCTGGGACATCCAATCCTAACTTTGAGGGGGAGAATGTTACGGTGCAAAGTCACGCTTGGATGTGGAGTGTTAGGGATTACCTTCTTGTATGTGTAAATGGGTTGAGTCTTTCCTATAAATAGGAAGTGAGTGACTCCCATTATGTAATGAATGATATGGAGAGCATTAGTTTTAGAGAGAGAATTATGATAAACCCATTTGTACTCTTTCTAACCATACTAATGGGAGCTTAAAAGATTTATTTACTCCATGTGTTCATAATTTGTATGATTATTCACTACATCTTTCTTATTCCGCATTTATCATCATAATCAACACCACTATAGCTTGTTAGAGTTATTTCAGTTTGTTTACCTTCTAGTTATGCTTAGGTTGTGTGATTGATCTACCAATCAATGTAACCACCAATTCAATTTATAATAAATAAAAGTATCGTTTTTGTTATATAAATTTTGTGTATTGTTCAATATATCTATTTGACCTTGATCCTATTGTCCCTACGTCGCACAGCCTGCCGTGTCCGCCACTGGCCGGGGGTGTGACATAACCCTTCTTCGTCATAGGAATTTAAAGATGTAATGAAGTGTCAATTTGAAATGAGTATAATGGGTAAGATCAATAACTTCTTGGGACTAAACATTCACCAAAACATAGAAAGAGTCTTTATTAATCAAGAAAGTTATATGAAGAACATGCTTGAGCGCTTTGGAATGACTAACTGTTTAGATGCGAAGGTTCCCATGGTTGTTGGCCCTCACTTAAGTCCTTCATTGGATAAGCCTGTTGTTGACTTGAATACTTATCGAAGCATGACTGGTTTATTGTACTTAACTACAAGTCAACCTGATACTATGTTTTTGATTTCTAACTGTGTAAGGTACCAATCGAGTCCCAGAGAACCACATCTCACAACTATCAAAAAATATCTTTTGAGATTTACATCGCACTCTAAATCTAGAGTGTGGTATCTAGCAAACACAAGATTCTTTATTCAAGCATTTTCTGATGCAGGTCTAGGGGGTTTTTAACTGGATCGTAAGAGTACTACTGGAGGATGTCAATTTCTAGATGGGAAGCTTGTGAGTTGGCAGTCGAAGAAGAAGACATGTGTATTGATATCCAAAGTTGAAGTCGAGTACATTGTTGATGCATCATGTACTTCCCAAGTTATTTGGATCCAAAGGCAATTATGTGACTATGCAATTAACATGAAGATAATTACCTTGCTTTATGATTCTTAAAGCACCATTCGCATTTGTCATAATCCAAGTTAGCATTCAAAAATAAAACATATTTTACTTCGATACCATTTCATCAAAGATCATGTTAAGGATGGCGATATTGAAGTTCATTTTGTTAAAACCACAAATCAATTTGCTGATATTTTTACTAAACCACTTGATGAAAAATTTGTTCTAAAAGTATTAAATGGTTTGGGAATGATGGAAGCTTGTTATGTTCCAACATCTACCTAATTTTTCTGGTCTTGGAATTTCAAAGTTTTGGACTAACATTTATTATTGATATGACTTCATTTAGAGGCTACTGTTCACGGTCATAGCTTCTATACGCTTTGTTTTCGACATTAGCTCTGACTTTTTCAACAATTGTTGCCAACAAGAGAAGGTGTAGAGAAGGATTGATGGAGTTAATAGCGAATGGGAAGCGATTGTCTCACTGATAAGTATTTGTTATCATTAGAAAAGGGGAAGTGATTGTTTTCTTAACAACTATTCATTATCGTCAATAAAGGAGTAACAAATGTCTATGTATGTCTTTCCCTAAGTTAAGAAGGTTTATGCTTGGATTCTTTGCAGAACTGTTCATTATCAATGCAGAAGGTCTAATGAAAGTAATATTTTTTTCTTTTTATTTTTGAAAAGATAAAAAAATCTTTATATTTGTCTTTCTTTCTAAAAATCAAAATTTCAAAAATGATTTTCGGTATTCTTGTTCTTTATTTCACAAAACCAAAAACACAAAAAGATTTTCTATTTTTGTCTTTTATTTCAAAAATTCAAAAATACAAAAATAGTTTCTTTATATTTTTATTTCCTTATCTTGATTGGGAAGTCCTTTGTAACATATGTTGTTCATAAGCATTCAAAAGTGAAGCTCAAGAGGGATCAGGTAACATTTGTAACTCATAACTAGTTAAATATATGTAGAAGCATGTTGCAGCATGTTGTCTAAAGCCTCAATGACTCATTATTTGTGAAGCCTTAATGAAAATTTTCTTCCAGAAATTTCTTCCCAATAGGCTGTATTAACAATATTCTTCAAGCTACCTTTCTCTTATCAATTTGAGTTAAGAGATGGTTGCATGGTCACACTTTTTAGTAGAGGTACAACGGATTTTCTTAACCAATTTTTTCATCCTAAAGTTCTTACAATTACACACATAAAGATGCATATCCCAATACATCTCTAGTAAAAATAACAACTAGGATATAGGTGTACCAAAAGTCTGTTGTTTTTATCCTAAATCATTTTACCATGATGAGGGTGAGACCCAACAACCTTCTCACCTAAGGAATTAACGGTGGACAATTTTATTATTCAATATTTTTATGAAACTTTATGTTTCAATGTACGTTTTCAAATGTTCAAAATCTCATTTTGAATTTTCATGTGTGATCTTAATGAAATGTACTTATCCCAAGTCATTTTTTCCCAATAGATCCATTTCTTTAATTTTTTCTATGAAATAAGAGTTTAGTCTGAACATTTACTTTGATCTTTAGTCACTTAAATTTTTCCAAAGCTTACTTGTTGATGATTACACTGGTTACTCAAGTATTTTCTAACAATATTTTGCTCTTATGTTAAGTTGCAAACTTGTTTGAAAATTAAGCCACTACGAAGCTTGTTAAAAGAGTCCCTTCAATACTTCACTATAAGTATTCGATTGTAATTCTCATTAAACCACACAAGTACTTTGATATATCTCTTAATGTCGAAGGAAAAGTATCTTTTCCTAGGATCTTATTGCCTTTATATCAAAGTTTCTTTGATATCACAATATCTAAATTTTTCTTATTTTGATCTAACTTTTCTTTTGGATCACATTGGCACTTAAATCCTTACGATTATGGGTATTACCAACTCAAACCTAGATTTCGTAAAGTTTGTCTTATGATTTCATTTATTCTTCCCATAAGTGAATGAGGCTCAATCATAATGGATAAAGCTTGGTTCCTGGTTACTAACAAAGCTTGATGACTATTCACTTCTATTAGTAATCACATAGTAACCAAAATAAGTGACATTCTAGCTGATTTATTATGGCTTGAAAAAAGTGCTCATTACTAGTACACGTGGAAAATGGGGGTGATTAGGTTCCAGTTGTCGATTGTTTATTGGATCTTTTTTGAATTTGAATTTGACGCCAGTCATAAAGGATGTCTTGTTGATACAAATCAATCTTTCTGATTCCCAGTGTTTACGCAAGAAACCTAACCTTACTTTCTACTCGAAATCAAAATTCTATCGTTGCTCATCATGTATACTATTAATCCTATTGATGATCAATTCAACACAACTGGAGATGAAGCTTTTGTGCCCAACATGAAGATTCAATATAACAATATCTAGTTTAATCTGAAGATTAAATATTACCCTGAAGAATTGTAGATGATGGTTTAGTGTATGAATAATCCAATTCTTGAAAATGCTTTAACTACTTCTTTTGTCAATCTAATGAAGTGGTTATCAGTTTCTGCTTCTACGGATTTATATGACAGTACAACAGATATTTTTACGTTTAGGATGGTATCAAAAGGCAACAAGAGTTTGAAAAAGAAGAAATTCGCTCAAATTATTAAATTGTAGTTAGAAGGATCGTTTGAGGTTCCCACAAATGAACAGGGAATTTAAATTTTCAATGAGATAGATTATTAACCAATAATATCTCTGGTTAGTGCTTTTAAGAAGTCCAATATTCTAAGCATTTGGAGTTTTTTCTTTGGAATTACCCTTCGTTGTTTGACTGGACGGAGTTTTAGTCTTGACAAAACCAAACTTTAATTCTATTTCGTTATGTCTGGTCTTTTATAATGGCATGAAAGTTGATTATGAATCATTATTACGGGTTGAGTTCAATTCATCTATTATGAACTCAAAGAAGACTATTGAGATATCTAGTGCTTGATTTTGGAGTCTTATTCTCAATGAAGCTTACAGTCGGGCAGGGATTTAAGTTCCTAAAGATGCTAAGGTTGCTCAATTCTCACATTTTCATATTCCTAAGTCTGCTATTGATGATCCGGTTATTTTTTCGGCTGTTGGATGAATTCCTTATACCATGCTCAATTTAGTATCCCTAAAAAAAATTATTGGTACAATATAAAGCTTCCATGGATCCAGCTTCTTATGCTTCTATCCCAAAGAAGGTGACCTTTAAATCCACAGAAGGAACATCAACATATTCATAAGGTGTAAAGAATAAGTCAAAATTGAAGCCAAATGTTGTTCTTGAAAAGGGAGTTTCAGCTAAGATTGTCTCTGAGAAGTCTGGGAAGAGTGGCTCTAAAAAGGTTACGAAAGCTACAAATGAGAAGTCAGTTACAAGTGGTTCTGAGATGGAAGTCCCAATTGTTCCTACGAATCTTGTTACAGAAGTTGTTAAATAACTTTCTAGTTCTACACATGTACTTAAGAAGTCAAATAAATTGAAGATGAAGTCCAAGTCTTTTGGTGTTATTATTAGGGATGTTACTGATGAAGAATCAAAAGGAAGCAAGAAATGAAAAGCTATTGGTGTCTTAAAAAGACTTAAGAATCTTAAGGCTTTTAATGATGAATAGCCTTTTACCAAAGCTACAATAAAAACAAATACTTTTGAAGCTAATAAAGATAGCAAAGAGATTGAGGATGCAATGTTTGGGAATGATGATTTCATGTTTCACAATTCACCTAGAAAGGATACCAATGTTGAATTGAATACCGAGAAGATAAGTATTCCTAATGTCACTGTAAACACATCTGATGTGGATACAAACATTGCTTCTAGTGAACCAGTTATAACTTTAATCCCTAAGCAAACTTCTATCACACCACCCGAAGTTCCTATTTTCAAGTCCAATGTGGAGGAGTACATGACTTCAAACATCCCTAAGAATTTATCTAAAAAGGACTTACATGTTACTATGAGTGAAGGGAATTTGAAATTAGCCATCAACACTTCAACTGTTCCACCACCACGACCTTCGTCACCACCACAAACTTCAACTATTATACCAACAATAGTTCTAGATGTTTCACCTACATTCGCAGGCATCATTAATGAAAAAAATACTTTATTATTCTCTTCTCAATCAACATATTATAAGACACCGAATAACGAAGATGATGAGGATGGTGAAATGGTTGGATTTGCGTCGTTAGAATTTAATCCTGAAGAAGAAGATGTACATGACAGTGCGATTATGTCAGGAAAGAAATACAAGATTATGAATTCCAAGCTCAGCACCATTACTTAATTTCTCAATGATAATGTTGTGAAATCCTCTATGAGTGGGGAATAGGTTGAGTTTCTATTTAAGTCTCGAGAATTGTGAACAAGGAATTTGATTGATCATTCTCGCTGGTTTTTGGAATTTGACATTAGGAAGTGTTACTGTTACAAGTCTAGACGAACGTCTTACTGTTCAATCAAATTGACACACTAATGTTGTTAAGGGATTGCAAAGAGTTTCACGTGAGCAACATGAACTTTTTGAGAAGTTTGTGAGCTCTTAGAAAGAGTATATTGAATTGAAGATCCAGGAGTGTGTTGATCTATTTTCAAAGGAATTAACGAAACTTGATAAGTAATGTGAGGACATTAAAGATAAAGTTGATGTTCTGTTGGGGGCTACTAGAACCATGATAAAGATATTAGTTCTTTTAATAAGGAGTATGCTAATGAGATGAATCTTAAAAAGGAATATGATAGTAAGGTATTCACAAGCATTAAGAACTCGCTTACACGATTTCATGAAAGATTGATGAAGTTTTATTTTCCATCAACTACTTCGTTATCTCAAGAGAAAATTTCTTTTGTGGTCTCGTCAATGGATTCATGTTTCAAGACTGAACTTACATTGATTCTTGATTTGGTTCTTCGCTTACCAACAAATGCTCCACATCCTTCTAAGAACATGTCACAAGGGGGAGAAAGGGGGTTGGTTCATCGAAAGACTCTGGAGCACATAAAGGAAAAGTGGTTGGGAAGGTAATCTTTACTCATATTCCAACCTCAATCCCAATGAAATCAATTATGACATCTTTGACAACAACAACAGTTACTCCAAATGTCAAAGTCGATTTTTCCAAGTTGCAATCAAAGAAAGGGTTGAACATCAGTGAAGGAGGTTCGGGTTCTTCAACAGATAAACCTGTTACAACCTCTGATCCTAAAGATAAAAGGAAATTTTATCATGCCGAATCCACATCAGAAGAAAAAAAGAAGCTACAAGAGCTTGAAATAGAGAAATTAAGGCAACTAAACAGTATAATGAGGCAAAGAGCGAATGATCCACCAGGTGTTAACAAGGGCGATCCCAACAAAGCTTGGTGGTATGAAACAATCGAAAGCAACACTTGTAACAAAGATGATGATTTTGTTGTGAAACCAAAGAAAAGTTATTCCATTCAAGATACTAAGTTTAATTAACTGGATTTTCTATTTAATCATTCGTTATTCATCTTTCCTCAGTTCAAGATTGCTGAGAAATAAGAATATCAAGATGAATTTAAGAAGCTAAAGATTTGATTCCATGCTATGCTTGGGAAGAATGAAGAAGATGTGTGGTCCTTGATGAATATAGTCAAGATTGTATCGATTACTTCTGATGCATTGTCCGAATGAGTATTGCAAAATTATCGTTGTAATGTTCTTCGAAGCAAACAACGTATTATTAGATTTCACCATTTTTTATTTCCCATTGATGAATATTAATGATCTTATTGTGACATCCCCTAATTTCTCGGCCAGAAAAGACCGATTTGATTTATGCTTTTTAAAATAAAATCAGAGAAATCTTTTTAAAAGATGTTGCGGAATTGGTCTCCAAACAAAATATGATAAAAGTTTATCAAAACCCTTCATTAAGAAGGTATATGTTTTCCATATATATATATATATATATATATATATATATATATATATATATATATATATATATATATCAAAACCTCGGGATGTCATGTTTCGATACAAATCAAAAGCATAAACAAGACATTATAGGCCTTTCAACATTTATTTACAACTACTGACCTATAATCCAAAAATCTCTCATCGTCCTCCGACTATGCTCAGGGTCCACTACCTGTAACATAAAAGCTGAGTGGGTCAGGCTTGGGAGCCTGGTGAGCATATAGGGTTTTCAACCCACAATAACAATAAACTTACTAAGTTTATCAATCAACAATAACCCTAATTACTCGTTCCTGTTATCCTCACTTTACGTCCCTAAACACTTATCACACGGGACCTAGCCTAAAGAATATTATCGGTATGGACACTACTGCTAAGGGGTTTCCTCAGCCATACATGTCCTAAAGGCAACCATGAGGGGGATGGAGTACATCGAATGAACACTCTCAGTTCATTAACACCTACAGGTTGCGGACCTGCTAATGTTTCCCACTGGACTGTCTAGAAAGTCCGTGGTCGTCATCCAAACTCCGCTAGATGACTGGATCTCAAAACACATCGAGGCCTCTCATCAATTTTATTTTATCACACATCACTAACTACCCATGTTCTACCCAACATATTTGTAGATAAAAATATTTATACAGTTTAAAACTTGTATAAAACATCAACTCAACAGTTACCTCAAATAAACAATTAATATATCTACACATAGCACGTATTATAAGGTAAATACTTCATATCTATGTGTAAAATGAAAGTGACTATACACTCACATGGTTTGATGATAATCGGTCAGCAATTCGTTTCCTAAAACGATCGTTTCTAACAAAACCAGGAGTTTTATTGAGAAACCGGGCTTTGCAAAAGTTGGGCTTTGAAACCGAAAAGATAAATTTTCTGGGCTTCTCGGGCACTTCGTGGAGTATTCTGGGCTTTACAATCGATACTGGGGCTTTGCGGGATGTTAAGATGAAGAAAATATGGGTTTAGGGGTTAAAATTGACAAATTTTCAAAGTTACCCGGGAGGTCTCGCACCCTTCTATTTATGGGGAGAGGCTTCTGATCAGACGGTCAGGAAGAAGACACACATCGCAGATCCAAGGGTTCGCAGGGAAGGCTCGCGCAAGGGTAGCATGTGCGAAGGGCTCGGTGTCGGTCTCTGATTGGACCGCGGTCTACTAGTCCACATGCGAGGTTCGGAGGCTAGGCGGTGCGAGTCTCGATCCAGCTGCGAGATTCAGATTGGGCCTCCCTTTGGTCGAATCAGAAGAGGACATGGGGCGACACGGGGCAGTCTCGCATGCGAGGGAAGGCAACACGTCTTGCCAGGTGGCTCGGTGACTCAGCAGGTTTCGAATACGTGGCACATGCGAAGCGAGGACACGTGGCACTTCTGTTTTTGACGTTCTTTATATGCACGTGTAGCTAAAATTACGCTCTACAGCTTCCGTTTAGACTTCGTCGGCTAATTTTGACTTTAAATTTTATATTATTATTTTTTAACAAACCGGGACGGGAAATCCGTTAAAAATTTATAAGTTCTTCATCTGACGTCCGTTTTCGTCAGACTTTTTACCGTTGTGCTCCTAATGAAGAGACCTTCAATTATCGTTTAGGTTGTGTCGGCTAAAAAATCGTTCGATCTAAAATTCGAGTTTTTAGCTGTCTATTAATAAGCTGAAACTTCAAAAAATCATAACTTCCTCATACGAAGTCAGATTTGGACGTTCTTTTTATCGAACTTCTCGGTTTGAAAAATACTACGCCTTTTGTTTAGATTACTAAGGCTAAAAAGTAGTTTATCAAAAACTCACTTTTTACGACATTCAGCATCGTGCCGGTTTTGTCGCGAAACTTCGACGGGTCATAACTTCTTCGTTATAACTCGGATTTTGGTATTCTTTTTATCCCCGAAATCCTTGTTTCGAGCACTAAAACTTTATGTAAAGATATCAGGCTTATATCATACTTTAATTTTGACGCTTATTTTATTCTTAATTAAATAAACGCTAATAATTAAGCATAAAACACATAATTCACATAATATTCACATAATTCCTTTTCATTTCTTCAAAATGAATTACAAAGGTTAACCTAGACTATCACCTCAATATAAATGCCTAGGCTAGAAACACGAGTGTTACACTTATCAAGGTTACGAAGCTCTTGGGTGATTTGAACAAAAATCCCAAATATCGGATAAAGCTTCATACATCATTGGATATGGGAACATCAAGGGTTATTTGGATGCTTATTTTGCTCATTTGGCTTTAACTGATATTGATCTCTCCATTGCCTTCAACAGAAAGTCAAAAGTTCCTAAGGCTTTGTTGAAAGGTAAAATGAACATTAATGATTAAGAAGATGGAGAAATTATTCACCAACCACTGGGAGTTGTTTTCTGGGTTAAAGGTAATAAGGGAAACAAGAAGAAATTCTTATTTTGTACCGATGATGCAGAAAGATATTCCAATAAGCATCTTTCTAGTATCCTTCTTCACATCAACAATTTTCTAAAGAATTTGAATGAAGACAGGGCGAAGATAAGGAAGTTGACCTTTTGATACTTGGAGATATGAAAAGTTTTGCCACAAATAATCAAGACACTACCCTCAGTTTGAAGATCGACATTGATCACAAAGAGGGAGGATGTAGAGTCTAATTGTTTTGTGATGTGTTGAACCTTAGGTAGTTGTTTTGGTAACGAATGTTTGTAAATGAAGAAGGTTCACAAGACTTCATTATATATGTATTTACTAGGCACATTTAGATGTTTGCTATTTAATGTCGAAGTCCTAGTATATTTTGTATCCGATAGTATCCTATAAATAGGGTAAGTACTTAAGTGAATATGAAATTTTTCACTCTTATGCATGGAGATTTATCATTAGGCCTAGCAATTGGGTTGGATTCGAGTTGACGGGTTGTCGGGTCAGAAAACATAAACTTAACCCAAACCATATAATATATGGGCTGGTGGGTTAGTGAGTCACGGGTTGGTCGGTTGGAAACTTCAACCCAACCCAACCCATATAACCCATTTAAGTATATGCGTTTGCGGGTTCACATGTAAATGGGTTGAACCCAACCCATATAACTCGTTTAATATATAAACAATGCATTTTTTAAAAATGAGGTTTTTTCAACATAAATTCATAAAGTGATTAAACTAATTAACATAAAAAAAAGAAGTTTTCAACATAAGTTCATAAAGTCATTAACATCCAAATAGATTTTGAAAAATGAAAACATTCATACAAAATGGATGCATTATTTGTTTGTGACTCGTGAATAAAATGATATGTTTTTTTTTTCTTTTTTTGATTAGGCCACCGCAA